AAATATAATTCCTCTCCCGAGCTTTAAAAAAATTCATAGCTGTGGGCTTAGGTTATCGCACAAATGTTCACAGGTATTATATGTCAATTTATAAGTTATTTATTCCTTATTTCTTAGAGAAGAAATCAGAAATGTTGGCACCAGAAAGAAGAAAATCAGAGGGAGACAGAAACATGTAGTTTTTCCTTACTGTGATGATGAGCAGAGGTTGTCTTATGTTTGAATGAGCTTTCCTTTCATGACTTGTTTCAATCTTTCGCCTCTAGGAGGTATGTAAAAAATGCAAGAGACACGCCTTGGCTGTGGTTAAAGCCAACAGTATCCATTTTCTTATGACAGGAAGAAAAAAGGCTACAGCCATTGTAGCTTCATGTAAGTCTCTTTCCACTTACAAGACAGGAATCTTACAGGGCTCAACCTAAATATTCTGTCCTCATGTTTAGGAGTCATAAACAAACATTCTAGGCTTCTGGATTCTTTTGGATCAGTCTCCCTGGCTCTTAAAGAGACTATATAAGAACTGATGGAATACAGTCCACTCCAATGTGGGGATCAGGGTCGTCAACCCCACCATGCAGTCCAAAATCTGCATATAACTTTTGACTCTCAAAACATAACAAGTTCGTAACTACTATGTCTATTATTGACTGGAAGCCTTATCAACAACATCAACAGTTGATTAACACATATTTTGTATGCTATTTTTACTATATACTGTATTCTTACAATGAAGTAAGCTAGAGAAAAGAAAATGTCATTAAGAAAATCATAAGGAAAATACATTTACAGAACTGCACTATATTTATAAAAAAAAAAAAATCTGTGTATAAGCAGACCCGTGCAGTTCTCATCTGTGTCCTTCAAGGGTCAACTATATTTGATATCTCCCTAGCTTCGAGAACTCAGAAAATTCATCTGAGTGGGAAAAAAGGTCCATTTTTAATCATCACTGACAGGGCCATAATTAGGTCAGGGTGACCAGAATTCTGTCACAGGACACCCAAATTTAGAGAGCACAGATTTAAGGGGGGGAAAAAAAACTGTTTAAGGCAGTGTAAAATTTTAAGCTTCTCAGCAAATTTCCACACCAAGTCTCCAGTCATAAGGCTACTAGCTTGACCCCACAGACAGGCCAGCCTCCCTGGTAGAAGACAGAATAGATAGTGCTGTAAAGCCAAGGTCAAGGGCAGAGACTTCTCTGACCCTTATGTACTCTGAGAGCTTAGGAGTAGGGTTTTCTCCTCCTTTCCACTTGCCTCATCTCTCCCTGGCACAGACCCAAGTCGCTGGTCATATTTAGTTAGTTACTACAGACTTTGTTAGAGGCTTGACCTAAGTTCCAGGTGCCTTGTAGTTGTTTACTCACTTCCTGATGTGTGCTCACTAAAAGTCATCATCTGAGAGTTGACCTCCATGCTGGGAAGATGAAGAAATAAAAAGCATAGTATTGCTCTCAGTCCTTATGCCTCCGCATATTTGTCCTCGGGTTCTCACAAAAGTCTTTACAGCTCTTGATCCCTGGAACTCTATAAAGGGAGCAGATATTATTACCTGGTTCTGGTGGGAACGTTTTTGTACAACACAATCAGAATTCCCTAAAGTTTTTGGTGGACTGTGACACTTTTTCCTCTTAGGTCCCTCCTAACAAGGATTTGTCAGTTAAAAATTTCACAAAGCCACTATTTTTAAATGTAAAAACTAAAATTATAGATGGGTAATTTTTCAAAATAGAAAGCTGTATATAATACATCATAAAAACTGTGATAGTTGCTGACCAGAAGAAATGTTCTTGGTATCTTTTTCTATTTGGGAATCATCGCTAACACTTCTGTAAAGCTTCTGACTAACCTAAGAATATTTTTGTCAGACTCGGAATCCTGGGATTTCTTCCATTATTTTCCCTGTAGATTGTGAAGCTATGTTGCCCATTGCTTCAGGTACAAGTTACATATAACCTAAACAAAGTTTAGGTTTGAGCCAAGAGAAGGACATGAGACATCACGAAGCCAAACAGGTATTGTCAGAAGAGCTACCATTTGGGGTCATTTGCATCATTTTGGAATATTGTTAAAATAAAAGTGAACTATACAGAAACAAAATCCCATGGGCACTTGTTAACTCCATGTGTTGGTTGCGGTTGAGATGCACAGTGCTATACAAACTGCTGGTCAAATCCTCTACTTAGAGCATATGTATCCATTGTCCTCTTCGGTTTAAAAATCTTTCATATAAAAAATCACTTTTCTATCTTAGAGAATGACTTAATCCTTCACCTATCTTAATTTTACTCTAGTGTAATTAAAATTAAACAGAGGTCACCCTTATTCATGATCCTTAGCATCAATGCAATTCTCAAACTGGGGCTGATGGAGCTGATAAAAGGTAAAAATCGTATCAGGTACCCACGGTTTATTGTATAAATCTATCCCTCTTTTCCTCCCATGGAGCAAGCTAATTTTTTGTCAATAAAAAGCAATTTAAAAATGAGACCGATGTTAGAGGGTGATGCCCTCTCTTGGCAGATGCATTGAAAGCAATGAAATATTTTCTTACTGAGTATGTCTACGATAACCTGAGTATCTTCCGAGCTAATCTTAAGGGTCAGTAGTATTAAAATGTAATTGACCCAATTTGGCAAAGTATGAGGCCCAATTCCAGATAAACAGAATAAAATAATAGGCGCTTAGAATTCAACTTCTTAATAGTAAGAAGTCTACTCTGGAAGATAATTCTGGAGAGATCCTCACTTAGAAACATATATATTTCAATAAGGATAGATATGCATAACTTTATGCTACAACACACATATGTACACACACACACACACACACATACAAGGACAGTCACAACTCCTAGTTTAGATACATCTATCTAACCATAAAAAAGGGAATATGTATGGCGTATCTATGAGTCAATATAAAATAACGCCAACTGCAATCTACTCTAAGAAACCATTCTCATTCAATTGTAGTCATATTTCAAATGATGTGAGCATGTATAGCTATCCTTAAGTGAAGACAGTTTGGAGCAATCAAAGCATTCTTTTGGTCTTATCCAGGGTTTCTCAACCTTGACACTATTAATAGTTTAGACTGGGTAATTCTTCGCTGTGGGGGGCTGACCTCTCCACTGTACGATGTTTAGCAGGATCCCTGGCCTCTGTCCACTAGATGCCAGTAGCACTCTCCAAATCACGACAATCAAAAGTGTCTCTACACACTGCCAAATGTCACCAGACAAGGGAGGGGAATCACCCCAGTTGAGAAGTACTGGTCTAATTAAACATCATCATCTCGGGCCATTTCTGTTCTGCCTTTCAGAAGCCACAAATTTACAGTCTAAAAATTGCACAGTTTATTGTATAAATCTATCCCAGAAATCATAACAAGATGTTAAATTTCCAAATAGTAGCTTCAGTGGAAATGTGAGGCACAGGCTTTATGAGGCTCTTTAGTTACATTTTAACAACTTTATCAGTAAAAGTACTAATTTGTGTGACACGTGTTTTTCATTAGCCCTTTTACATCTTTGATGAAGTGTATAAGTAAAAATGTATTCCTTTTTAAGGTAATTATTAAATAATAACAATGGCTCTAAAAAGGAAATATGTTCAGGGTTTCACATCTAGTGCGTATTTAACGCAGCTCACTCATTGTACATTCTCATTATATTTTTGCTGCCATATAGGATCAAAATAACAAATCAGTTCTGTACAGAATCAGTACTCTCAAATTCTTAACTTTCCAAGCATCAGTTTAATCTGTGTTATGTCAACCAGTCATTTTTTAACTGCTGATTTCTATAATAACCTCAAAATTTAATCTTACTTAGAAATTGCCTATTCTGGTGGTGATACAGAATTTTTCCAAGGGCTTTGTTGTCTCAACGTCTTTTAAATGAACCCACCAAAAACTGCCAACTGTTTTAATTTATATGGTAGACTAAGTTTCTACCATTACAAATGAAGCAGAACTTTTTGACATAATTTACCTACATTTTGGTAACATTTAAAAGAATAAAAATAGTGATTTCTAGTGTCTCCTTTTAGATTAAGGCATTCCAAAGCACAAAGACAGTGAGAGGCTTCCTTTACTTTCCTTGCACATGTAAACACATTTAATCTGTCAGCATCTGTCAGTAGAGTTTGTTCGCAGTTTGTCAAAGCTTATATAAAAAGCTTTCTAAGTAGCCTTACTTGCTACTACCAAGGAATCAACATCCATGAATTCATATCCCTTTACTTGTATGAACCATGCGTGTGTGACCATGCTCAACACAGGGTTCATTCATGAGATATTAGGCAGAGTCAGAATGAGTCAAACAATTCTGCTCATTTTGGGTAAGCATTTGGGGGGTCGTGCTGGTGTGAGCATTACGAGCAGCAACCAGTAAGCTGGCTTGTCTTATATCAAGGTGTAGTGGGTAGTGGGTAGTTTATTCATCCATAGCTCTTCAACAATGGTTACAGATTTTTGCCATACTCAGCCATGTGGGTTCTGCCTTTGGAGTTGCATGGGAATGAGCTTTGTTTAACTGTGTGTATGTATGAGTGTGTGTGTACATGAGTCTGTGTTTTATTTGTGTGCATGTATCTTGGAGTGACTATACCATGGTAGATAGAAAAGGGATGTGCCTTCTAGTCTGTTCCCAGACTAAAACATCATTGTGCTTTACTTTATCTCTGAGTACTAAATTATGAAGACAATTATGCCAATTTGCAAATAAATAATGCACTCACATTTGTAGTCTTTTTGCACTAAAATACATGATAATACAAACAGGCTTAAATAATGCAGATCTAAAATTGAGTTTATGCCCTCAATTCTGAGAAGGAGGGGAAGTGGCTCATGTTATCCAGACTATGAATCAACACAGTCTAAATTCAACAATGCTTCACATCGTCTAAGTAGACCTGATAAAAGGGGAGGAAGCAATTCTTAACATTTTTTAAATGGAAGGAGACTAGAGTTAACATAGACTTGGTTCAACAAATCACAATAATTAGCTGTAGTGTATTGTATCTTTATTACTCAGTAAGGGATTTTTTTTTTTTTTTAGCTACCTCATCACCCACTCACTGCCCCTAAATAGGGCAAAAATAAATAATCATTTTTTAAAAACCTATGGTTCTAAGATATAAGATAGGTTTTTTTCCTAAAGCCAGATTGTGTTGATAATCAGTAACACTTTGCGCTGGCATTTCCTTTATTCTACCTTGATTAATTCTTCACCTTCAACAACCAGAGCTCTGTCTTGTTTGTGAACTGCATCTTCTAGATTTGAACCACCTAAATGTGCTTTACCAACATCATCTCATCAGCATGTTACTGGTTGCAAATCCACAATGTGCTACAAAATATTTCATAGGATGTTTCATTTCTTATTTGTCCTCCAAGCCAACATCCAAAGTAGAGTTTCTCTTGGGTTTTTATAGTTGTTTTGTTTTGTTTTGTTTTTCCAAGTGGCCCATGTGAATCCATGAAATGACTTGACCATTTCCTTTTGGAGTCCTGTAGAAAACCTAACAAAAATACCCTGTCTCGGTTCTTTCTTTTTCCATGGTCCCTAGGAAGTGGGCTGGAGTGAAGTGTCTTCACATGGGTCTAGCTGCATTCTCAGTGCACCGATTTTATGAAGATACCAGAGCTGGAGAAATTCCTCTGGCATGGCATGGAAGCCAGAGAAGGGTAAGACGTTATCATAGTAGTGATGGCTGATGGGCTGCTCATGCATATTCACAGAGAAGGGCCAGAAACCATAGATAGCTACCTCCTCACAGAGACCCAGAGCCGCACTCACCAGAAAGAGTCCTGTGGACAGGCGCTTGGCATGGATTCCCCTACTTTTCCAGAACTTTCCAATGCTACGCAGAAAGTTGGGGTTGGCAAAGAGCACTGTTTGATTGGCACCAACATCTGACAGTGTGTAATAAACCCGGAGAGATGGCTCTGTCCCCGTCTTCATAGAAAAGGCAGGCATGTAGATGTAACTGTGGTTATAGATCTTCATGTTGTCCACAAATGTCTTTCTGGACCACAGCAGATTCTGAAACCTATTATAGAGAAGAAGAGGCTCAGTTAAACCCTGAGAAAAGGAACTCATCAAACCCCACTCTATTGTTCATCTGATGGCCCTGCTAGTTCACATTATCTCGGGGCGGGGGGAGAACATGAAAACCGCTTCACTTATATTTAAAATCTTCCTTGAACTTACCAATTATTTCTCATCAAGTAGCCTGGCTTTCCCCAACCCCAACAATCTTAAATTCAGCTTAAGATTCCTTAATGGAATTCCCTTTGAACTAAAATGCACTGTACATTTTGTTCTCCCAGAATTATTTGCCTGGAATGTAAAAATAGTTTAATACTCATGAATTCACAAAGGTTGTTGGTTGTTGGATAGGATTTTTAAAAAGTATTTTTTAACTTATTTATCTGAGACAGAGAGCTAGCGAGTGAGAACATGAGCGGGGGGAGCGGCAGAGGGAGAGGGAGAAGCAGGCTCCCCGCTGAGCAGGGAGCCCGATGCGGGACTCGATCCCAGGACCCTGGGGATCATGACCTGAGGTGAAGGCAAACGCTTAACCGACTGAGCCACCAGGCATCCCATTGGATAGGATTTTGATAAAAACTACTTCTGCAGTCTGATATAAGCACAGGACTGGTTTCTTCAACTGCAAATCAAAGGAACCACCTGGAAGATACTTCAAATTCTATGATCCTAGAAGTATTCTGATTAACTGATATTATAGCTACAATATTACATGGAAAAAGAAGCACTTGTTACTATTATAAAATGATGCTGACAGAGTTGCCCGTATTGCTTGCTCCAAAGGACTCTACTTTCCTGTTTTTTCCATTTGGATTCCATAAAAAGAGGATCTCCAGTTCAAGTGTATTCAACCAAAATTGATGTACATCCTATGTGTCAGGTACTGGGGAATTAAAAATTTAATGACCCAATTTCTGTTCTTAAGAAATTCAGGTCCAGTTGTGGAAACAAAAATATAAATGAGTATAACATAATGTTCTAAATGCAACAGTTGATATCTGTATAAAGTACTGTGGGATACAGATGAAAAAATAATCCTGCCTTAGAGGAGTGGAGCCTGAGAAAGCTTCAGAGAGGGGATGGCATTTAAATACAGCTCCTGTGGGGCATCAACAGAAGTACAGCAACAAAATAAGAAGAAACACTTTGGTCACAGGCTGGGGTGCACAGTGTACTGAAATAATCATGAAAAAGAGCCTGTTTCCCTGGGCCACAGGAGGCAGTAGCTGAAGGTAAGACATGTTGCAAAAAACCCCGAGTGCCTCTAATTTGTTTGTGGACTTCAGCCTGTGGTGATGGGGAAACTCCACAGCCGCCCTGAGTACTCACAGCACTTACTATTTGCCTTACAAATATTTCCTCATTTGTTTAGTGGTCAGTCTGTGTCAAAAAAGGTCACTGGTGATCTGGGGAAGGAAGAGGCTGGTAGCCTGGAGACCAGTGAGGAGGTTGCTACAGATCAAGTATAAAAAGAGAAAAAAGACAATGAACTACACTCGGCTCTTGCAACTTTTGTTCTCTTTCACACAGGGCCGTCACCTGTGTTGGGTTACGTGCAGGGGGAGCAGAAGCCCGTAAGAATGCAATGGAGCCACAACTCACAGAGGGAAGTCTGGCCTGACACGTTGGCAGCGTTCATCATAAATATGTGAAACTAAAACTCTGAATAAACAAATCCACAGGGTTTTGTGTAGCAATCAGTGTGATTAACTCTGCCTGCCAAGAAAGGTGTGTTCCTTGAGCCCCAAAGAAGGAAAATTGCTCCAGGTTTCTTCATGTCCTTGACTCAGCACCCTGCTTTAGCAATTTTCTCTGGGCTGTGACAAATAAAAATAGTGGTAACAGGGTTTGTAAGTGGAATCACTTTATCCTAGAAGAAGCCATGGAAGCACATTTACCCATATTCCGGGGCTGGACCAGCCTCGCCAACACAAATTCCTACCTCTCAACTCCACTAGCCCATGCTTAATAATTCTATTCTCCCTGTTGCCCACCCATATCTTCTGCTGTCTTCCTAAAACATGAATGCTTTCCCAATCATGTAAACACACCCTGCAGGTAACCTCCTACTTCTTTTGAACCATGGTTCTCAAACTCTAGTTAGAATATCCTGAAATTACAGCTTCCTGGGTTCCAATGAGTAATCCAGCTGAATTTGTATCCAGCACTCCCTGGTGATTCTTGTGCAGGGGTCCTGTGGATAGACTTATTTAGAAGATCAAAGCCATCCATGCAAGCTGTCTAGCTCTCTGCCATCTATCCCTCAACATCTCTTTCTTTACATCTTCTAATTTTATCCTTGTTGCAATTCTAACAGGAAGAAGTGCTCCCTCTTCCCCTCTGTGTCTTGGAACAAACCATTTCATATTTTCTAAAAAATTCATGTTCTAAAGTGGATCTCGCTTCTTTAAAACATTTAACCTCAGGGTGCCTGGGTGGCTCAGTGATCCCAGGGTCCTGGGATTGAGGCCCGCATTGGGCTCCCTGCTCAGTGGGGAGTCTGCTTCTCCTTCTCCCTCTGCCGCTCTCCTACTCTTGCTTGTGTTCTCTCTCTCTCAAACATAATCTTTTTAAAAACACAAACATTTAACCTCTCCCTCTCTACTGAATTATTCCTTTTTGTCTTCTAAGCACAGTTAGAACTTAGTATGAGGCAATTCTTCATATGCTCATACCCTTCCCCGATCTACATTCTAGTTTTTTCATTTCACTATCAACATTGTAGAGCAATTAGTCTACTTCTATCTGTTCCCTTTCTTGCTTCCATTTCCTCCTTATTGCTGTGCAGAATGGCTCCTATTCCATAGCACTCTGCTGGTTAATGGAACTTATCCTTATTTTTGTAGTGGACTACATACTAGTGAGAATTACAGACAGCTCCAATAAAATCAGGGAAATTGATTTTATGTTCCCTGTCTTAAAGCTGACTGATTATTCTTGAAGAGGGCAGTCTTTCCCTTGAGTTTTAACTTTGAAAAGGAACACACATCTTGGATTTACTATAGCCTTAATGGTCTGACACTGTTAAAGAACCAGACTATATATAAAATTTTATTATTTTTACCTACCCCATTTTTCAACAAATGACATTATTTAAGAACTCAAATCAAGGGACGCCTGGGTGGCTCAGTTGGTTAAGCAACTGCCTTCGGCTCGGGTCATGATCCTGGAGTCCCGGGATCGAGTCCCGCATCGGGCTCCCTGCTCAGCAGGGAGTCTGCTTCTCCCTCGGACCCTCTTCCCTCTTGTGCTCTCTCTCTCATTCTCTCTCTCTCAAATAAATAAATAAAATCTTAAAAAAAAAAAAAAAAAGAACTCAAATCAATTCGGGCGCCTGGGTGGCTCAGTCGGTTAAGCGACTGCCTTCGGCTCGGGTCATGATCCTGGAGTCCCAGGATCGAGTCCCGCATCGGGCTCCCTGCTCAGCGGGGAGTCTGCTTCTCCCTCTGACCCTCCCCCCTCTCGTGCTCTCTGTCTCTCATTCTCTCTCTCTCAAATAAATAAATAAAATCTTAAAAAAAAAAAACTCAAATCAATTCAATGCTTATTTATGGCACACCTAATATATTTACTGTTACTCTGATCAAGAGCTTAATAGGAGTGGTTTGAATTTTACTAAATTATTACAAAATTCAACTGGAATTGTAAGAGTAGTGCTCCAGCTTATCTCTCCAGCCTCATTCTCAGATACTCTCTCTATCTTCACCCAATACTCCAGCCATCCCTGTATGTGCATCTGTCCTCATCTTTTGGCATTAATAGTTTCCTTTTGGCTTATCCATTCATTGCCCTGGTGAAGTTCTGCCTAAACATCAAGACTCAAGCTTCTCCTTCTAAAGCTTATTCTTTCCTTTCAACTTAAGCTTTCAAAGGAGTCTTCTTGGAACTTCTCAGGATGAACTAACTCTACCCTCCAAGACTGTGTACTCCTTGAAGACAAGGGACAAGTTTTATTTGTCTTTCAATTTTTACAACTTAGGTCAGAATAGTTGTATACTATACAAATGGAAAACTATTAAACTGAAAAAAGAAGAAAATGAAGTAAGATCAGCCAGTGAATTATTAAAAATAGAAACGATTAATATATAATGAATATGGGCATGAAATAGAAAAATATATCAATAAAAATAGCAGAAAGCACAGCAATATAGCACATTTCACAAATAAATTTCCCACATGATAATAAAGAGAAAAATCATTGAAATTTTAAACAGTTACATTCAAGCTATTTAACAATATGAAAATTTGAGGGGGAACAGATTTATATTTGACAAGAAAATTTCAAAATAATTTCAAGATATTTAAAGTCTATATTGCAGGAAAAACTAAAGAAAACAATTGTGTGAATTTATCAGCCACTTGCAAATTATCTTTCTATAAAGGTAAATATTGACAAAGTTGATTACATCAAGATGCAAAATTTCATTGCCACGAAAATGAGATAACTAAAATAAAAAGGGAATGACTCTGAAAAGTATTTTCAACAAATATAAAAATAGAAGCTCAATATTGATAACATTATAGAGTCTAAATATATTGATATAAGATATGAAAATGGACAAAAATACAGATAATGGACAAAAACACAGATGCAGGTAATAAAAAGTGTTAAATGTTCAGCTTCAGAATGCCAGGCAAGATGCAAACTGAAGAGAATAAAGAAAGATAAGGGTCCAGTTCTCCCCTCTTCCAGCAAATTTCTAGAAATGAAAGAAAAAATATTTTTAAAGATCTACACCCATCCTGAAAAAAGAAAAGAAGGGAAACCCTCAGTGAATCCCCAAATCTGAGTTACCTCTGAAAAACAGAATGCTTACAGAAAGAAACCAGAAGATAAGCTAATTTGTTGAGCACTGCTCTAAAATGTAGCAGTGCCCCATGCCTAAAGGCAGAAGATACTGAGAAGTTGGGTGTCTTGGAACAATCAACAAGGTGATTGTTTACATTATGGGGCAGGAGAGACATTCAAGTGGACTGAACCCTAAAATCCTGCACTGGTCA